GGGGGGGGGGGTTGGAATTTATTCCAGCAAGGCACAGAACTGAACCATCCCAGAACAGACTGTAATAGAATGATAAGAAAGCAATTCTTTTAATGCTTCTGGTACTCACCCGTATTTCTTGCTACTGAACAAAATCATTACACAGCAGTTCATAACAAGCCGTGTGTGATAAATGATGGGGGAGAGACGATGTTGTTGGTGCAAGCAGTTGTTTTTCTCAGACTGTCATAGCTTTGTTATAAATCAAAACTCTCTGCTATAAATGTTACACAGAAACATTTACAGTTTTCAAGCAGAGGCTTTATATTAGATCTATTTCGATTTGTAAGAGGAGGCCATTGAAGTCTAGATCCATTTTCAGTTCCTGCTTGAAATAATCGCACACCTGATTACATGTATACGGAAAGAGGTGTTTGAGATCAGAATGTGAAGTCCTGATTAAAACAGCTCTCGTTGGGAGAAAACAGGTGCAACCAATTACCCGACCAAGGATTAAAAAATATCCTAAAATGAAATTGACCTTCTCATTTTAGAATCAAAACTTGAAGAATGTGCTCTGAGAAAGCTCAAAAGAAGTTTTTATGGTGCGTAAATGACTAAGTGGGTTTAAGTTTAAGAAATCTGATATTGACATCAATGTTCCGATTGTCATGTATTTATCTTCATCATAAAGACATATTTTGGTGACGTTTAAAGATCCGGTCGGGATCCCAGACAATATCGATAACATTTTTCAAACTATCCAACTTTTGGGGTTTTTTTTGGCCGAAAAACATCCTTCGACATCTGTTCTATTCGGTCACAAGGACGAAATTGTAGAAAAAACACCATAAATGACCTAAAAGGGCGTTTGAAAAGTGCAAATTGCACTTAAAGTCCTTCTAAAAATCCTTGTTCTTTTTCTCCCCAAAATCTACATTTTTACATATAATGTGACCTCCTTGGTGAAAGGAGTTTTCAAAAACTACTGTAGCTAGAAGCTTCAAATTTGGCGTACAGGTGCTTTAAGATCTATTCTGGGGATTTATTTGAAGGAATTGTGAAATGTTGGTAACTTGCGGAAATATTCAAATTTTTTTGTAATATGTACCCCAAAATTTCGTCAACTGGCTCTGGGTGGTCCATTAACTTTGGTCTCACTATTTTAGTTTTAAAGATAGGTCAAAATCCTCACCTAGATCCCCAGTCCTTATAGGTTTGTACTTGTGTGCTGAATTTCAGGCGGACAATTCAATATTTACTATGACATTTTTCTGCACAAAGAAACTTGATTGAAAATCCAAGATGGCCGCCACAGAGACCCATTTTTCTGAAAAAATCAATGAATTCACCCTTAGTACATCTTATTTACTTATGGACCTCTTGCACAATTGCATGAAAGTGAAAAAAAGTCTTTCGTTTGGAAAAAAAATTTCCGGGAGTGTACGTCTTCCCTTTAGGCACAAGCCTTTTAGAAAACTAATTATCATTCTTTTATGTGTTGCATTGGGAATGGGGAGGGGGGACGGGTGGGGTGAGAAAAGGTGAGGGTGGGGAGTGGTAGAGCAAACATGGTATGAACTCGATTGACTTGTTGGCTGATACTACGGAAAGCAGTTTAAAGTTGATTTGAATACTTTGTTCTACTTCTATTTCGATTCCTTCATTTAGATCTAGTTCTGTGTGTTCTTTTTCTGTTTTACATTTTCGCTTTTTTTACACCCAAAAGAGTAGTTTCACATCTGTGGTCTATTCTCGATGGCTGCTTGGTTTCAATCGAGGTAATTGATCTCACGTGCTGGCTTAGGTAGATCTGACAAGAGCATTCCTGCCACTTAATGTCAAAGGTTGTCCCTTCTTTGTTGTCTTGTTCTCTCACCGTCTGTGAACTTCAGTTGGTAACCTAGTCGTCTGAAAAGTCGAGCGGTCCTGTTTCTGAAATGTGTGGACACGTCACGATGAGTCAAATTCACCACTTTTTACTAACTTTTCAATGCTTGACAAGTAGTTGGAAACTGTGCTAATGGTAGCCATGTTCTGATTGAATCCAAGCTCACTGTAGTTTGAAGTTTTTTTTAACAATTTATAATTTTGAAGTATCTGAACCAACAAAAAGTAGAAGGTTTTTATACCATCTTTTTTACTGACATGTAATGATGACCTAGCTGTCTACCTCTTTCAGGTACCTAAGATACCGATGCTCGATGGATTGAGAAAAACAAACAAAAATAAAGAACCTCTGATCTGGGGATCCATAGTTGGATTTGTAACACATCACGGGTTCCCACTTGAAAGAAGTGATAGAGTGCACTGAGAACTAACACACCGTAAGGAAATGCAATATACGACATACGAGAACGTGTTATAAAACTGGTTGCGCGGAACTTGTAAAATAGCGTTTGGAAAAAAACCCATGGAACGGGTGGAGAAAGAGTCTGAATGCCTGAAAAGTTTACACAGGTGAAATAAGATAAGTTGACAAAAAGAAGGGAGGAGAACTCTCAACTTTGTTAAATGTGTAAATGTGTGTCTTTGTAGGTGGGTGGAAATCAATTGAGATGCCACAATAAAAAAAAACAGCTTTCAATTAGTACGCTACACCCTTTTGGGGGTCCAAACCACAGTCGCTAGCACAGCAGCCAGGCAGAGACTCACAAAACAAACCATGGCCAAGAAGAAAAGGGAGAGAGAGAGAGAGAGAGAGAGAGAGAGAGAGAGCCCTTTACAATGAGGAGAGAGAACGAGAGGGAGATGGAAAGAGAAACAGAACGAGAGAGCGAGCGGACAGAGGGAGAGAGAGAGAGAAAGAAAGAGAGAGGGAGAGAGAGAGAGAGAGAGAGAGAGAGCGAGAGAGAGAGAGGGGGGGTTGAGAGAGTGAGAAGGATAGAGGAGGAGAGAGAAAGAAAAAAAGAGAGCAGAAGTAAAGAGATATAATATGAGAGAGAGACAGAGAGAGAGAGACACAGAGAGAGAAAGAGAGAGAGAGAGAGAGAGAGAGAGAGAGAGATGGAAAGAAAAGAGAAAAGAAGTAAAGGGAGACTCTGTGTGTGTGTGTGTGTGTGTGTGTGTGTGTGTGTGTGTGTTTGTGTGTATGTGTATGTGTGTGTGTGTGTGTG